GTTGATATCCCCATGTTGGGTAGGAAATACACTTGGGGAAACTCTCAAAGCTGGAGTAGGATTGATCGTTTTCTGGTTAACCCTGAGTGGTTGGTTTGGCATAAATATAAAGTCTGGGGGTTACCTAGACTGTTTTCTAATCATAGCCCCATTATGTTGACGGAGGATGTTAGAAATTGGGGCCAAAACCCTTCAAGTTCATCAATGCCTGGGTTCTCCATCCCAAATTTCTTGATGAAGTAAAAAGAGTCTGGGAATCAACAAATGTTCATGGTTGGGCAAGCTACACCATTATGGCAAAGTTGAGAGCTTTAAAAGTTGCTTTAAAAAGATGGAATGTGGATGTGTTTGGTGATGTGGACTCAAACTTGCAAGACATTGAATCGAAATTACATTCCCTGGATTTACAATTTGAGTCAAGGGAGTTGGATGCGGTGGAACAGGGTAGATGAAAGGAGGTCAAGGGTATGATATGGAAACTCATGAAAAGAAAAGAATGGATGTGGGTGCAAAAATCTAGGTTTGATTAGGCCCTTAAGGGAGATAGAAATACAAAATTTTTCCATATTATGGCCACTAAGAGTCACAACAAAAACTTGATTGCTTCTATTGAGGTTAATGGGGTTGAGGTTCAAGAACCTAGTGAGGTCAAATAAGCAGTTTGTCATCATTTCCAGAACTTATTTACTGAACATTGGAGGTTTAGGCCAAGCATTGGTGGAGAGTTCAAGAAGATTGAGGCTACCCAAGCAGGTGATAGTCTGGAGAGAGAATTCACAGAGGAAGAAGTATGGGCTGCTATAAAAGAATGTGATGGTAACAAAGCCCCAGTCCCTAATGGGTTTAATATGCTGTTTTTTCAAAAAAGCTGGAAGTTGTTGAAAGGTGACATCATGAAGTTCATGAAGGAGTTTTACAGTAATAGTAAATTGGGTTATGGGGTAAATTGCTCTTTTGTTACTCTCATCCCCAAGAAGAATAATCCTAACTCTCTTATTGATTACCGACCCATTAGCTTGATAAATTCTCCTTATAAAGTGTTGTCCAAAGTTTTGGCCAATAGAATCAAGCTAGTCCTACCGACTGTGATTGATAAGGTTCAGTCTGCTTTTGTGGGGGGAAGAAATATTATGGATAGCGTGTTGATAGCAAATGAGGTAGTGGATTGGTGGAAAAAATCAAAGAAGAAGGGCCTTATTCTCAAAATGGATTTTCAGAAAGCCTACGATACTGTTAACTGGAACTGTTTGTTGCTGATGTTGTCTAGCTTTGGGTTTGGATCAAGATGGATTAGATGGATGAAAGAATGTTTGGAATCTGCTAGAATCTCTATTTTGGTCAATGGCTCACCGTCCGCTGAATTTTCTCCACAAAAAGAGCTAAGACAGGGCGATCCTCTTTTATCTTTCCTCTTTCTTGTTTAATGTTGTAGTGGAAGGGCTGAACTTATTGTTGACAAGAGCTAAGGAGTTGGGAATTATAAAAAGAGTGGTAGTGGGTGATAGAGAGGTTAACATATCTCATCTCCAGTTCGTTGACGTCACCATTTTATTTTGTGAGGCTGAATGGACTGAGATTGTGGCCGTGAAATGCATTTTGAGATGCTTTGAAGTGATCTTGGGGTTAAAGATAAATTTTCATAAAAGCATGATTTCTGGTGTGGGAGTGGATGATGGGTTGATTGAAGAGTTTGCAACCAAACTCAACTGTCTAAGTCATAAGCTTCGATTAAATTACCTGAGGATGCCTCTTGGTGCCAACCTAGGTAGGAAGCAAACCTGGCAGCCAGTGGTGGATAGATTTAAAAAGAAATTATCTAGTTGGAAGAGAAGATTGCTTTCTTATGCTGGTAGAGTCACTTTGATTAAATCTGTTTTGTCCTCCTTACCTATATATTATATGTCTTTGTTTAAGATTCCTGAGTGTGTTGCTAAAGAAATTGATAAGATTCAAGCTAGATTCCTTTGGGGAGGGGATGAATATAAAAAGGAAGATCCATCTGGTAAAATGGAAAAAGGTGCAGCTGAATAAGAATCAAGGGGGTCTTGGAATAAGAGATATTAGAGTAACTAATGAGTGCTTGCTTCTCAAGTGGTGGTGGAGATATGCCTTGGAAGATGAAGCTTTGTGGAAATCTGTGATATGTGCCAAATATGGTGTTTCTGGGGGTCAGTGGTTCTCTACATTGACTAATCTTGGGTATGTTTCTATTATCTGGAGAGATGTGATTGCTGTACCATATTCAAATCCTAGGTTGTATAACTTCTTTATGGAAAATGTGGAGATTAGGATTGGTGATGGGAATAGGGTGAAGTTCTGGGATGATGTTTGGATGGGATCATCAAGTCTTAAATCCCAATTTCCTAGGTTGTACCAGCTGAATCTAGATAAAGAGATCACCCTTAAAATGCAGATTTCCTGTGGTAATAGTACAAACAGATGGTTGTTTTAATTTCAGAAGGCCTCTATTTGGTTAGGAAGAAGATGAGGTGGCAAGGCTGCAAAATCTGTTAGGAGCAAGACCTTGCATTCATCTGGATCAAAAGGACTCATTAAGGTGGAAAGCTGAGCAGTCAAGGCTATTTATAGTTGGAGGTATGTATTATTGGTATAAGCAAAGTGCTAGTCCTGTTCTCAGCTCATCAGATCTGGTTTGGCATAACTTTGCCCCTCCTAAGGCTAAATTTATTACTTGGCTTGCATGGAAAGGTAGGCTCAAAACATCTACCTTCCTTAGTAGTATTGGAGTGTTGTTAGGATCTGGGATTCTATCCTGTGTGTTGTGCAAAGCTGAAGTGGAATCTTCTAATCACCTTCTTCTATCTTGTTCTTTCGTGTGGCATGTTTGGTCTAATATTATGGACTGGTGGGGAATTCAATGGGTGATTCCAGGATCTTTTGAAGAGTTGATGCAATGGTGGTTGGGATGGAAGGTCAGGAAAAAGGAAAAGCTAGTTTGGAGAGTGGTTTTCATTTCTTGTGTTTGGTCCATGTGGACATACAGAAATGACTGCATATTCAACAATACTCAACCTGCTGTTGTAGATTTGTGTGAGTTAATAAAAATTAGAGTGGCCATGTGGTTGAAGTCTTATGATATGGGGTGCTTCTACTCCATTAATGAGATAGTTTCAAATATAAAATGGGTGAGACAAAACCTATAAGGATTGGAGGTGGTTGGTGATTGTTGAAGAGTTTGTTGTGCTCTGGATTTGTTGGTGTCCATGTGCTTTAGTTTGCTGTGTTGTTGGTTTTCTAGTGTAATCAGCTACTGCAACTCTGTTATTCTGCTCTAGCTGCTATGAAGCTCTGTTTGCTGCTGTGTCATTGTGTGTGCTGCTTTGTTTATTTTTGCTGGTATGATGCTGTATGGAATCTGATGTTAAGGTTCACTTCTTTTTTGAAAGTATCAAGATAAAATCTGTCTCATTCCTTGTTCATCCCTACATTCTACTTTAATGCTAAGTATGGTGGTGAGGGTCAGATAATAATGCTCACATCATCCTTGCTATTGATCTGTGAGGGTAATTTTAATTGCAGCACTTCCACCAACGAGTAGCTATTAGGGGTACCTTGTTATGGTTGCTGCTGCTATTTTTGGTCTGCTAATTATACCTTATGAGCGCTGCTGTTGATATATTTGGACTGCTGCTCAAATATGGAGTCAAGTTTTTCAAGAGTTGCCACAAGGACCTGTACTTGCCATTGTCACAAGTCAACAACTTGCATTGATTGAAAACCTGTCTTTATTGAGTTTGCAGCTTCAATGTTCTCACCACAATATTTGATCGAGTCCCAAAAGTTGAGATGCCATTGAATTTACCCACTAATTACTTCTTAACCAGCAGTGAGCTTTTGGATCATCAATAGGTGCAACAACTACAACATCACTTTGTAATCTGATAATCTGGTGCATTTTGCTAATCTAGTGCCTCCTACTGCTGCATACTACTGCTCTGGTGCCTACTGTTCTGGTGCATTTTGCTAACATCTCAACAGTCTGCTAATCTGCTAATCTGGACTACATAATGGAGTGAGGCATTGCTGCTCTGCAGTTGGAATGGTCTGAGGTTTCTCCATCCTCTTCTAGCCGCTGTGTAGTTTTGTATCAGTATTGGAGGTTGAAGGATCAGGCTCAAGTCTAAATGGTGGCTGCTGCTATGAGGATTGGATCAGGCTCCTGGCTAGTGGCTGCTGTGATCTGTTTTGCTGCTGCTGTGAGGAATGGAATGAATATAGGTGAGGTTTTGTATCACATATGGAGGTTGAGGGTGTAGGCTCAAGTTTGGTGGTTTGGTTGTTGTTTGAATGGAGTTCATGGTAGCAAAGGTTCTGATTAGACAATCTATAGGCCTAGTTTTTTATTTTTTCTTCTCTGTCTCTTGGTTTCTCTGGATTGGTTTTTCGCCAATCTTGGATTAAGTGCTAGCAGATGATTTTGCTTCCTTAGCGATGCCAACCTAGTTGGGATTGTTAAGGTCACTGGTGATGCTTTTTGCACTTCCCTCTTTGTTGATGTAAGTTTTATGCTTGTATTGCTTTCATCATCAATAAAGTTCTTTCTACTTATCAAAAAAAACATTACTTCTTTGAAAATATTGTTTTCGTGACTCAAGGTCGAACTACAAAGCCTCTAAAGACATTATTTACAATTGAATATGTATGTATATATGTTTTACTTTTTGGTAACCACTGGTCTCCAAAATTTACCACCCCACGCCTACTTACCAATTTAATATCTTCCTAGGATATAATATTAAATAATTTTAAAACATTTATTATTTATATAATTTTAAATTAATCATGTAATAAAAAAATTATGAAAAATACATATTAACTCACTTTTATTAAGTAATTATGAAACAAAAGTTAACCCGCAAACTATTCTTTATAGCTAGACTATGCTTACTCTATAAGTATTTAATAATTTTCCATACTAAATGAATATGAATGTAGAAGGTTGATAATCATGATGTTGATGATGATAAGGTAGGGCATACCTATGCAGAGAGGTCACAGCAAAACCAATCCACCGCCGTTCATTTTGTAGCCACTTGATAATCCGGCCGTCCAATATGCTGGTGTATGGACCTCCGCCGTGTGGGTCAAAGGCAAAGCTCTCAGGCCTGTTGGAAATCATATTGAGTAATTGAAGGAATTTAGCTTTGTTATATTAAACTACACAATCAGTGGGTTAGCCATGATTGTAGCTGTTAGCATATTATATGTTAGTGCTATGTTAGTGCTACTTTACTCATTATGTTAGTAATGCTTTCATCATTAATGTTTTCTCTTTCGGCTTGTAACTCCTCTATATAAAGGAGCTAAACAACACAGATAGTGATATCAATATACGTACAGAAATTCCCTGTTTTCATCTCTTCCATATCTCTCTGTTTTCATGGTATCAGAGCCAGGTTTGGGTGATTCTTGATATCCTTATTGTTTGAAGCTTTCAAGGGTTTCCAAACCCTTGCCTTCACTCAACATGGGTGACAACCAGAATAAGGACTCCATGGTTGAACCCTCAAGCCCTTTGTTTATTCACCCATCAGATCATCCAGGCCTTTTCCTGGTCTCGAAGCGTCTTGACGGAAACAATTATGCAACATGGAGACGCTCCATGGTGATTGCTCTCACTGCCAAAAACAAAATTGGTTTTGTTAATGGTACGATCAAAGCCCCGCACACAACCGAGAAGCCTATCGATTATGCCCTGTGGGAACGCTGTGACAAAATGGTTCTCTCATGGCTTCTCAACTCCGTTAAAGCAGATTTAGCAGATGGTGTTGTGTACGCTGAGACGGCACATGAGATCTGGAACGATTTCCATGATCGTTTTTCTCTAGGCAATGCTCCACGAATTTTCCAGATCCAAAAATCAATCAGTTCACATGCACAAGGTTCTATGCCTATCTCCACATACTATAAAGAACTCAAAGCTTTATGGGATGAACTTGCATCCTATAAAACTCAACCCACTTGTTCTTGTGGTGGAATGAAGGTTTACAGTGAACAACGGGAACAAGATCAAATTATGCAATTTCTCATGGGTCTAAATGAGTCTTATAATGCCATACGTGGTCAGATTCTTCTCATAAATCCATTACCAAGTGTTCGGAAGGCATATTCTTTAATTACTCAAGAAGAAAAACAACGGGAAATTGGTTCCTCAACAGAAAACTTTTCTGTTACTGCAACAATGCATAAGTACAAAGGCTCCAACTCTTCTCGTTTTGGAACCCAAAATCTGTCAGGAGATCGTTCATCCTTCAATCACTCTTCTCGTTCCGGAAATCCAAATCAATCTGGAGATCGTTCATCCTCTTTTGATCTACATTGCTCCTACTGTGATCGTGATGGACACAATATCGAGACATGTTACAAATTACATGGATACCCGCCCGGACACAGGTTGTTTTGTGGAAAGGGCACCAATGCAGACAATCATGGCTTTATTCAACAACAGCAGCGTGATCGGAACAAACGAAACAACACCAATCCGCGTGGAAACCATTCCATCCACCAAGTTCACACCATGGACCCTTCCACACAACAGCAGCCAGCCCACAGAAACCTTGCTAGTCATTCTGATTCGGCAACCCATATCTTGCACCAGGTTCTTGCTGGGCTTTCTGAGGAGCAATGCAAACAACTCACCACTGCTATGGCAAACTTGTCCAAATCATCCTCCGAAACCTCCGATGTCTTTGCTAATGCAGCAGGTCAGTTTCATCCCTCTATTCCATCCATTAATTCAATTTTTTCTCATTCATGGATTCTTGATAGTGGAGCCACAGATCATATCACATCCAATTCCTTTTTTTTTTTCTCATAGTCATCCATCTCCTATTCCTTCCATTACCCTACCTACAGGATCGTCAATTCCTATTGATTCTACAGGCACCATTCTTTCAATAAAGACATCACTTTAGACCAAGTTCTTCACGTTCCTTCTTTTCGTTTAAATTTACTGTCTGCTAGTAAACTCACCAAATCCCTTCATTGCTGCATCATTCTTTTTGCTGATTTTTGTGTCATCCAGGACTTGGCTTCGGGGAAGATGATTGGCTGGGGGAAGCAGAATAATGGACTCTACTACATGTCGCCATTGACTACAGCCCCACTTTCCTGTCATGTCTCATCACCGTCCTCAATCTGGCACCAACGTCTTGGGCATCCTTCATCAGCTCGTCTTAAACTCTTATCTAAATTGTTTCCCTCCATGTCTATTTCATTTAATAATGATTGTGTTGTTTGTCCTATGGCTAAGCAAACCCGCATTCCCTTTCCCTTAAGTACAACATTAACTGTTTCACCATTTGAATTACTTCATTGTGATATCTGGGGTCCACATCGCATTCCCTCACATACTGGTGCACGTTACTTCCTTACAATTGTGGATGATTTTACTAGGTGTACTTGGGTCTTCTTGATGACATACAAATCTAAAACACAGGCCTTGCTTAAAGCTTTCTTTGCCCTAGTCTATAATCAGTTTAATGTCATCATCAAAACTCTTAGAAGCGATAATGGCTCCAAATTTATTTCCATGCGGGATTTTTTTCTTAATACTGGTGTCGAATTTCAACGCTCATGTGTTTCCACTCCTCAGCAAAATGGGGTGGTTGAGCGCAAACACCGGCATATTCTTAACATTGCTCGTGCTTTGCGTTTTCAATCACACATTCCCTTGTCTTTTTGGGGTGAGTGTGTGCTAACCGCTGTATACCTCATTAATCGTTTACCTACCATTTTGTTGGCCAATAAATCTCCCATTGAGTTACTTTATCATAAACTACCGCCTCTTGCCCATCTTCGTGTTTTTGGATGTTTATGTTATGCTACCATTGTTCATCCTGCTTATAAATTTGCCTCTTGTGCACGACGTTGTGTCTTTCTTGGTTTTCCCACCGGCCACAAGGGTTACAAACTTTATGACTTGGATTCTAAAACTTTTCTTGTGAGTCGGGATGTCAAATTTTTTGAAACCTTTTTTCCTTACCAGCCCAACTCTCCTTCCAACCCAATTTGCACTCGCCCTACTGTCTTACCTCTTTCTCAACTAGACCACACCTCTTCCTTACCCACGCCCGCACCCGCACTCGCACCCGCACCCGCTTCCTCCCAAAATCCTCTACCTTCGCCTACATCGTTGCCTCCTTCTCCCACCTCTGTTCCTCCTTCCTTGCCCCAACGTCGCTCGACCCATTCTGCGCAACCCCCTCTTTGGCACCGCGATTACCTTCTGTCTTTTGCTTCTGCTTCCCCTGCTCCGTCATCCTCGCTGCCGGCTCTTCCTTCAGGTACTAAACACCCCTTGTCTCATTACCTTTCCACTCACCGTTTTTCTCCTTCGCACCATGTGTTTCTTGCTAACATTTCAGGCCCCACTGAGCCCACTTCCTTTGCTCAAGCTGCTTTAGATCCTAACTGGCTACTTGCTATGACGGTTGAGTTAGATGCATTGCAACTCAATCGCACTTGGACCCTTATGCCCTTACCGGCTGGTCATCAACCCATTGGCTGCAAATGGGTGTTTAAACTTGTAGACGCGCCCGCGTGGGGGGCTTTGCTACAGCTCGGACTCGATTTGTTGTCACGGTTCTTAATCTGAACCAAAGAGTCCAAATCTGGCAAATCGTTTTGAGAAAACAGATTTTAGGAAAGAAGTGCCAAACATGGACTGCTTTGCCAGATACAGAGTCGCCACCTAAATATTTTTTAATGGGGAAATTTAGGAAACCCTGACTCGGTGCCGAAGGCCACATGTCCGTCATCACTGGAGTTGTCTCGGCTCGGGAGCTTGGGTACGATCGGGGAAGGTCAGCTATGAGCACCCCCTTTCGCCCGGTCTGAAGACTGGCCTCTACTAACCATGATATCCGATTTTGAAAACGTTATGTGTTCTTATCCCAGTTATTAGCCTAGAATTACTATGTTATGCGCACGACAAACAAGTATAGACTAGATTGCCTAATTTGGAAATAAGCATTGCATATCCGTTTGTCTTAAAAAAATTACTTTGGAATTTGCTACTCGCAAGTAGGCTAAAATACGGATTTCAACGAGTTTTTCCAACTCAAACAATCCAACCTTCACCCACAGGCATTTAAACAATTTATAACACATAAGCATCTAGCCACATGGTAAGCATGCTATCAGGTTAACATTCACACGCATGCGAGATGCTAAAGCATAAATACTTACATCGTACTCCGTGCCAAAACAATAAACTAGTTAGCAAACATGCGTGATCCTAGTTCATGTCAAGTTGACTAATGCATCACATGCAAGATGCAATTAGAGTAGGCTCGGCTAACCTAAACATGGCATGTGAAATGCAACCAATTAATGCACGTATTCAATTTGGGATTGAAATACAAATGCAGTTAGAATGATGTACCGAGCCCGGTGCATATAAGACAAATGTATGGATGCACGCATGCATAGCATAAGGTATGCTAAATTAAACATGTCCTAATACTAACCATCAAAGCAGGTAAGTAAAAGGGAGAAAGAAGTGGGGATTGGAAGACATGCACACACGCACCCACACTTATTACAAATACGCCCTCACTCGGAGGGGCCGAATAAATATTACAGTCCGAATAAATAACTAACTACTTAATTAATTATTATAGAATTCCTATTTAATTAACAAATTAAAGGCAAAGGGAAGGCGGTCGCAGCCGTCGCCTTGGGATGCGCGAATGATGCATGCTCGAATCCGTCTCGCCCGGAAAGCCCGCACCATACCATTGCTGCATCTGTTTTACTGCCTTGCTTTTCTAAAAAATGCCAAAATTCTGGGACAGATTCCTTGCACACCGCAGAATACCACCGGCTGGGGGAAATTCCCACCGGCAGTGTATAATTCCCATCGGCTGCTGATTTAGTCACCGGCCATTCACCAACGGCCGGTCGGCAATGTATTATGCAGGCCAGCAGAAATTTCCTGCAGGAGACAGTTTTGACAGCAACAGAGGACAGACAGCATATGGCATGGGATTTCAAGCACATGTATGCATGGACACACTCCCTATCATGTAATGGACTCAAGGAAGCATGGCCCTCGACCCTCGGGCCACCAATCACGCATTTCGATACATGATGGCCAAAGAGTCAAGTGTGCATTTCAATGTCAAATGCAATGCACACAAAACATACAAGGGACCCAACCTCAATCATGGTTGGTCAAGAGGCGAGGCAATGCACAACAATGCACATGCAACCTAAGCATGCAATCAGACATACAAACATGCAATACAACTACATGGCACACACAATGCTAACAACATAACATGCACAACGCATTGAAACATGGCATACACAGTGCAAGATGGACTTACACCAATGTAAGTGGACCTCAGCCACACCCACATCAGTGGCCATGAGATGAAAATGAGACACTCGAAATGCGTGCAGATACGCACGCAAACCGAGGACCGAACCTAAGGCACGAATGCCACTATACCAAAGCATGGCAAGACATGGAATATGATATGCAAACATGCAAAAATCAGTAGCAAAATGAGGGGAAAAATATCCCCGAAACGAGGCGAAATGACACCCGATGCATGGAATTTCTCCCGAAATGCAAAACTAGGTACATGAAATGGCTTGCAGCTATACAAAGCATGCATAATTGGTACATGGAATGAATAGAAAGAAGTAAGGCAGCCCCAAAATAAGCATTTTTACAGTTCAAAGCATGGCCAAACAGTAAGCACAAGTGGGACTAAATTATCATACAAAAATGGCTCCGCAAGGGAGGCAATGAAGCAAGTGGTAGATGCAAAGCCCAAACGGAAAAAGACTCTTCTACAACACTGAAGAGGGACCAAAAATATGACTACTTACAGTTGATGGCCAAGCCTAAATCAGTACACAAGTATGCTCAAAATGCCATGCAAGATAGGGCCCAAAAGAGGTCAAAACACAAAGTATACAAAAAATTCATCAAACAGCCAAAGACCCTTAATGAAACATGAATATGGGGTCAAAATAAGACTGTTTTCAGTTCTGTAAAATGACCAAAAATAGAAGCATAATAGGCTAATAGATCATGCAAAAATGGGGACCAAAGAGGGATATAATGACAAGTGGCACATGGAGGTCCCAAACAGTGATGAGCCCTTCTTCAATGTTGAAGAGGGGCTTAAAATAAGCCTATCTACAATTTAAATCATGCTCCAAAACAGATCACACGTAGGCCAAAAATATTATGCAAAATTATGGCATAAAGAGGGCTAATGAAGGAAGTGCTAGCTACTGTCCTCAAACAGCAAGAGGTCCTCAATCAAACATGAAGAGGACCTCAAAATATGATGATTTACAGTTTGGGTCGGAGCCCAAAAATGCAAGCAACTATGGCTTAGATATGAAGCAAGAAAAGACTAGAAAAGGGAAGAGGAGGACTCACCCTTGAAGACCAGCAAACCAGCACCTCTTGGACCAAGTTTAGGTGCTCCTAAGCTCTGAAGAACAGCCTCAAGTTGCTGCAATGGAGTAAGGATGCCTTGTGCTATGAGTTGATGAAGAAATGGGCCAAGAACAAGGGTGTTTGATGGTTGAATGGGAGAGATATAGTGAGAGATGAAGGGATATATGTATGTATATATCAGATATATCTATATATCTCTGGTTTTTTGTTCCAAACATCCAACCAAAACAATGGAGGAGGAGACGCCCCTTATATAGGCAAGACTAAGCTTCTAAGACAAGCTACAAAAGGTCAAAGGGGTCTAAGGGGAGGTCAAGGCTTATTGGAGAAGCTAGGACAGCTGGTAAGCTTCTTGGGGAAGCCAAGACAAGGGGTCAAGGCTTCCTCAAGAAGCCTTGAGCAAAGGGTGCAAGAAAAGGGGTCAAAGGGTGTGCAAAGGGTGCAAAACAGCCACACACGCGCATGGGGAGTAGGGTCTGCGCATTCCAGCTGCCACAGCTGGCATCCATTCAATCTGTAGAATACTCCAGAAGGTCATCGGCTAGCAAACTTGGTTGGTCAGCCATCTTTTCTGGCCGGTCGGCAATCTATTTGGCCGGTCGGCCATCTATTTGGTCAGTCGGCCATTTGTTTTGGCCGGTCGGCAGGAAACATCTACTCTGCAGGTCCAACTTCAAATGGGCATAACTTCTTCATATGAACTCCTTTTCAGGTCATTCTTGTGTCAAAATTGAAGCCCCAGAAGTAAGCTTTCCAATGGAACCATCCTTGCATCAAAATTCCAACTGTGCAAAACGTTATGCTTGTTTTAGTGAAGGCTTCTCAGTTTCGGTCCAACCAGGATGATGCCCAACTTCAACCAATCATATCTCCCCCCTCCGGTCTCGGATTTAAAAAATTCTTGAGTGCAAAATGAAGCCCCGGAAGTCTTCTTTCCAACGGTGGTGACCTCATAACTAAAGTCCAAGTGTACAGATAGATAAGCCCAATTCAGCGAGGGCTGCTCGACTCGCTTCTACCCGGATTCATGCCAAACTTCTCCCAAACTAGTTTTCTCCTCTCCTTTCCTCTCTTCTTCAACTCCAAACCCCTAAACAACGTGCTTTGAAGGATTTGCCTCTCTCCTTGCCAAAGAAACTGAACATTTGCCCTGCACACCTTTCTCCGCCAAGCAAAACATCAATGGTGCCCAAGTTTTAAGGGCGGTCAAAAATGGGGTGTCTACAAAACTCAAATACAAATCTGATGGCACCATTGAGCATTACAAAGCTCGTCTCGTCGCCAAAGGTTACACCCAAATCGAGGGTGTTGATTACATTGAGACTTTCTCTCCTACTGCCAAGCTTACTACTCTCCGTTGTCTTTTGTCTGTTGCTACTGCTCGTAATTAGTTTCTTCACCAACTTGATGTTACAAATGCCTTCCTCCATGGTGACTTGCACGAGGGCGTCTATATGGTTCCTCCTCCTGGCCTTTGCCGACAGGGGGAGAATCTGGTGTGTCGGCTTCATAAATCTCTTTATGGGCTGAAACAAGCTTCTCGTAACTAGTTCTCCAAATTTTCAACTGCTATTAAGAAAGCGGGTTTTCACCAATCTATGGCTGACTATTCCCTCTTTACCAAAGTTAATGGCGATTCTTTTACAGGAGTGCTCATCTACGTTGATGATATTATCATTACAGGCAATAATCTTGAAGAAATGGAACACCTTAAATCTTTCCTTCTCAAACAGTTTCGCATCAAGGATCTCGGTGACTTGAAGTATTTTTTAGGCATTGAATTTTCGCGATCCAAGAAAGGTCTTTTTTTGTCCCAAAGGAAATATGCTCTAGATATTTTACAAGATGCAGGTTTAACGGGGGCACGGCCAGAAAAGTGTCCAATGGAACAAAATGTGAAATTACAAACCTCAGATGGTGTTATACTCAATGATCCAACGAGATATAGGAGGTTGGTTGGTTGGAAAATTAATTTATCTTACTGTCACAAGACCAGACATTGTTTTTGCAGTTCAGAATTTGAGTCAGTTTATGCACCAACCCAAAAAACCACACATGGAGGCCGCACTTTGTGTCTTGCGATTCATTAAGGGTACACCTGGCCAAGGATTATTTTTCCCAGCTATAAACAATCTTGAGTTAAAAGCTTATTGTGATTCAGATCATGTAGGTTGTCCAACAACAAGAAGATCAACTACAGGTTATTGTGTGTTTCTAGGTCACTCTCTTGTCTCATGGAAATCTAAGAAACAGCCAACTGTGGCTCGTTCATCTGCAGAAGCCGAGTACAGGGCCATGGCGAACACATGCCTTGAAATTACATGGCTGCGATATATATTGCGAGATTTAAGAGTCAACTAAAAAGGCCCTGCTCCTTTGTATTGTGATAATCAAGCTACATTGCATATAGCGGCAAATCCTGTTTATCACGAAAGAACGAAACATATTGAAATAGATTGTCACATTGTGAGAGAGAAGCTACAAGCTGGTGAAATTTCTCCAATCTACATTTCTTCACGAGATGAGCTTGCAGACATATTTACGAAAGCCTTGGGGCGGGATAGCTTCAATTACCTGAGTCACAAGTTGGGACTTCTCAACATTCACTCTCCAACTTGAGGGGGAGTGTTGGAAACCATATTGAGTAATTGAAGGAATTTAGCTTTGTTATATTAAACTACACAATCAGTGGGTTGGCCATGATTGTAGCTGTTAGCATATTATATGTTAGTGCTACTTTACTCATTCTATTAGTAATGCTTTCATCATTAATGTTTTCTCTTTCGGCTTGTAACTCCTCTATATAAAGGAGCTAAACAACACAAATAGTGATATCAATATACATACAGAAATTCCCTGTTTTCATCTCTTCCATATCTCTCTGTTTTCAAGGCCCAACTGCGTCCACAATTGGAATGATATGCTTGTCACTAGCAGATAACTTCTTGGTTTGAAACAAATGAGAGACAATTTTAATCTGATCAATTGATGAGAGAAAGATTGATAATAAAAGAATTGTTGACGTGGTTAGGAAGAGCTTTGAGCTCATGGCTTTGGATAGAGAAACCAAATGAACCATGGTTTGTGTGTGTCTCCGCAAAAAGTGTATATAGAGACAGGGCTATATATAGGGGGAGGGAAACTAGAAGACAATAGTGTGGTGATAAAATTGTCTAATGGCTTGTAAGCAACCTATGGCCTCATCTGTTTGGTATGTTTTCGTGTGTGTGTGTGTGCGCGCGCCCGCTCTGAAAAAAATTGGAAAGTTCATGAATATTTATGATTTTGTTTCTTTGTGAAAATAGTTTTCTATGGTAAAGAAAATCAACTTAAAAAGTGTTTTCTAACGAAGGAATTTACCAAAAAATAAATTCTCAAACAAATTTAAATATTAATTTCTTATTTCATATTTTCAAAAAGCAAAAAATAGAATCCATAGTCTTGTTGGGTAATGGCTTTATATATATATTAGTTTACTAGTGGAATAAGTAGCCAAAAGAGAATAAATAATAAAGAAATTAATATTATAATATGTATGGATAGACGTGATGCATAAAGTTTGAATCCAAAGTCTTGATTTTCATTAAGAACATTCTTATCACTTGAGCAATATACATATTATAACACTAATTTTTTTATTATTTATTTGAATTATGTTTTCTGACGAAGGAATTTACCAAAAAATAAATTCTCAAACAAATTTAAATATTAATTTCTTATTTCATATTTTCAAAAAGCAAAAAATAGAATCCATAGTCTTGTTGGGTAATGGCTTTATATATATTAGTTTACTAGTGGAATAAGTAGCCAAAAGAGAATAAATAATAAAGAAATTAATATTATAATATGTATGGATAGACGTGATGCATAAAGTTTGAATCCAAAGTCTTGATTTTCATCGAGAACATTCTTACCATTTGAGCAATATACATATTATAACATTAATTTTTTTATTATTTATTTGAATTACACAAGTATCGCGTGTACCATTGGCAAGAAAGTTTGTATTTTAGGTTAGAAAAAGCTTCTAGGTAAATTACTAATAGATCCTACTTTTGGGACTTATTACCCATCAAGTCTTATTGATAAATTTACCAGTCTCTCTTATTTTTATAAATAAATTTATAGTGATAAATTTATCAGTCAGGACTGTAAGAAAATAAGTCTATTTAATAAGCAACAATGATTCATCCCACTAAAAACATCACCACTAATAGCACTAATGCATTAAAAAAGTTAAAAAAAAAAAAATACACAACTCCAAGACCAAAACATCACATCATTAATGACGGGACCCACTGCCACCTAATTAGTTGGAGCACTAATTAGTGCTCCCAAGCATTTTTCATTTAATAAGATTGGCTGATAAGTGCCAAAAAACTGCCACGTGACATCACGTGAAGGCTTGGACACCAAGTCTAAATTTCACTTAATAATAGTACTGTTAGATATGGCTACTATTTAAACAAAAACATTGTGGCCTTTTTTAGGTTGAAAATCTCAATCTAATTTTCTTATCTTTTTTGAATTTTTATGACACTTAAAATATACGTGTCATTTTGTGATTGGTTCAAAATGTAATTTACATAAATTAAGTTAATTTTTAAATTCTTTTAATCAATTGCCAATGATATATTAATATTATTTCCTTAAATTTTGTGATTTCGCAACATGCAACGACGTTATTATTATGTTCAGTTTCAATGGTTATTGTATGAAATCTATATCTATATTTATACTTCTACCTATGCTTTTACATAAGCAACAATGTTGTCGAGTCAATGAATTTAAAACTTCTCATTTATTTATTTTTATAAATTTGAATTAATAAAATATAAAAATACAAGTGTCATAAAATCATTAGTAATTTCACTTTAATTATAATTATTGACCTTTTAATTATTATAGTAATATATTTCAAATTCCACAATTATCACCTTTCAAATTCCTAAATGTATGATTCTTTTATAATAATAATATGAAAAATAAATTAAAATTTTAAATGATTATAACAATTGAACATTAGTTCATAATTTTAATAACAATGAAACAATACTTCAGTTTGTTTACTATAATAGTAAAGATGGATCCATACAATACATATTGATCATAACCTATCACTGTTAATTTTCAAATTTCATTATCTAAAGTTCTATGTTTTTGTTCAAAGTTTACATTTTTTGTTTTTGTTTTTTAAAAGCTAAAATATATATTTGACATAAAATTATTGGCACATCTAGCCATATATCTAATTTATAATTTTGAAAATCTTTTAAATGGAAAGTCCAAAACAGAATCTTATTCATTATTATGGCACATCTCATCTGAAATTTGAAATTTTGGAATATTTAAAAACTAAAATATGAAGTTTTGTCATGCTCCAAATTTTTATTGCTCTAATCTATTACCATCTTCCTTTAATAAAGTCCATTTCAAAGTTATGAAACAAGAATTAAAAAAAAAAAAAAAATTGAAACAATCAAAGTTCCCTTTCTCATATAAATACATGATTCTAAACAATAACAATGTATAAAGAGTTATGATCATAAATGCTATGATTCATAATTATATATATTTTGTGAGTTTTGTACCCAAAGTATACATACATAAATATATCTTTTCTCAAGGAATCATTCTTTTAAAATTTCTTAAAAATCCATTTCCTAATCCTCATACTCATAAATACAGTTTAAAGAGATTTGTAAGCCTGAATCACGCCTCGAACATCACATACACATTAACCATCTTGACATTTCTACAATTCATGTTATATAATCCGAATGAATTTATCACGTTACTTATTTCCGAAATCAATTCACAGTTAATTTGTTGTGTTTTCGTGCTCACATCAAAACAATACTCACATTGTTACCAAACTCAATATTCACCTCATAATGTTCATCAACAGTTATCTCTACAATTAAACACAAGCTTGCAATCAAATTTCATAATCAAATAAACAACTAATGGTCTTGTCAAGCCCCACATAACCACCATGGTCTCATTGAACCCCACATGTACCTGTTTTACCGGTTGTTAGTCGGAAGGAATGCATTACCTCTATATAGCACGGTCTGCTTTACCATGTGCTAACCAGAAGGAACACATTACTTCTATATTGCACATCAGCTCGCTTTACCAGTTGCTAACCGAAAGGAATGGGTTACCTCAATATAGCCAAATTGCATTCCACAATACATGCATATCAATTTCCTTCCATTCATTCTCATCTAATTGCGTACTTCCACAATTAATCGATAACACAAGAGGTTTCATTTCAACCTATCTCACATCAATTCTACAACAAGTAATATTGTAATACCCCAAAATAATAACAACAAACCACCTCATAATATTCAATGGAAACGTAGAAGTTTATACAATATTAATCTATCATTGATTCCCTTTATTGTACAAAAAATGACATATTCATGTATACATTCATAAATCATACATCCTAAATCCATAGTATATGATATGTGGTAATCACATGAAACAAAAGAAAATCTAAATAAATTTATGTTTTAATGGCTACATCTTTCCAAGTTGATACTTGGATACAACAAAATGAGTTAAATGCAATATATATAAGCCCAAGGCTTTTACAATAAATATTTATACAAAAGAATAAAAATAAGCTAGGTCCTCCCAAGCTACTTCCTTGGTGGAGGTATATCCTCAGCACCTGATAGTTGTTTTCCACATAGGGTGACCTAATACCTAGTAGAGATACTTGAACACAATATATGTGGCTTAACAAAGTCATATGGTAAATGTATATACATGCCATTTACCAAAACGTTACACTTCCTCTTTCAAAACAATGCAATGCCATAATTATATATCAATTCATAAAATAATACTTTTGACATTAGGAAACAGGCCAGTGGATACATAACATTGGGAATCTCCAGGTACACGTCTACCATTAGGCTATATAAGCACTACCAAAGTCATTTTACTGATACTAACTGGAAGGATTAGCACCTAACCGCACAGACTTATGGACTTTCACCAAGGATACATAGACCAACATAATAAAACTACAACCACAACCTCTAACCAGATGCACCAAGGCATTCACCCATTTTTTTTTTATTAAAATAATACATTTTCAATGTAAGGATATGAAATAATGTTCAATGCAAAATGTATGAGTAAATGGTTTTCATTTAACCTATTCTTCGCGCAATTTTTTGTAACAATCAAAGCTATCCTCAACCGATAGCCCAAAACAAATATCTTTATACAAATGATAAACTTCCAACAACAACTATAATTTCATAAATTTCAAAATGGGAGTGATAATACTTCTCCAACTCTACTCTCATCATCAACATGTACATTCATTTTATCTTTTCAAAACTCAATTTCTTTTCCTTTCATCCATAGGTCAAACACTAATGATTTCCAATAAAACATCCTTTACTTTCAAAAACACATTTAAAGGAGAAATTTTCCCATATTTCAATACAACTCAACAATATACTCATCATCACAACATTTCTCAAGAACCCCTATGAAAACCCCTCTTTTACATTTCAAAAACCAAACCCTAAATCAAACCCCCTAATCCTAAATCACAATACTTTACAAGGAACACATAATGAAGCTAAGAATCATACAAGAAGGCTGAAGAAGTCCCTACTTCAAGAGTAGAAGAAAAACAAGGCAAGACCCAACTTTAGATGGAGTCAAAAATGAAAACTTCACCGATTGAACTGTTCACCTTTACGAACTCTACACTTTTCTCCAAAGCACTAGGGCGGCGAGATCAACAGATTTGAGTGTATTTGAGATTTTTAGATAAGAACTAGAAAGAGTGAAGAAATTAGGTTTGAGAGTGTTTTAGAGAGAGAGAGAGATTAAAATGTGATTGAAAATATCTTTTTTCCGTACTGATATACGCACAGACCGCTCGAGCGACCAAACTACCACTCAAACGTCAAACACAAGAAAGTGATACCGCTCAAGCGACCAAAACATGGCTCAAGCACACAATGACCCCTTTCCAAAAGTTTTGCAGACTGCAGAAGACCACTCTAGCAAAGAAAGGACCGCTCGAGCGAAGATCACCCTACTCCCAGTCGTTTTGCCGACCTGCAAAAGTACTGAGAGAACTCAAAAGCCGCTCGAGCAACCAAGCCACAACTCGAGCAAACAAGAAAATAAACAGACAACAATTCTTTTGGAAAACTAACTTCCAACCTGTTCAAGACACAACCAACA